TATATATATATATATCTATCTAGATATTATGATATATATATATATATATATAATATATATAATAATATCTAGGTATTATGATATATATATAATATATATATTTATATATATAATATCTAGATATTATGATATATATTATATATATATATCATTTATTTTATTTTATTATTCGTAACGTTGATAATTAATAAAATAAAAATTCGAACGCGCGATAAATCAACTAAGTAATTTACTGAATAATCCTCTTAAAATAAGTATCTTCAATAATATAACATAGAACGAAAGTAGATATTATTGTAAATATAATAATAAAAAGAAATTGTATATTATAACAAACTTGATCGTCATTATCTGCGAATATTCATCGAGTCAGGTTTATATACGATGTTTCAATATTTTAAAGACTATTTGCTATAGGTACACAATGTATATTAATTTTATATGTATACATGTATATGCATGGTGTGTATATACATATATATATAATCTATATATCATTCACACATCTCTTGACAAACTCACGCTCTTTTTAAGCGTGAAAATCATCACACACGTTCGCATACATACATATGTATATATATATTTATATATATATATATATATGTCTCCTTTAGAAACAGAGATGTATATATATATATATATATTCATATTTCTATATTATCATTAATTCACTGATGCTATTTGTAGTATTTTTGTAGTATTTGTAATACATTCACATGGTAATTGTTATCGTCTTAATATATCTAAAATATTTGTAACATTCAGCAATGTATGTATGTGTAGGTAATCTGTATGTTTATATTTTTATTTGCTCGCCCTTTTTTTTTTTTTTTTTTTAGACCGGAGTTGCGCGAGATAAATAAGAAAATTTGAATAATCTTGAAAATATAGGGTGGGGGGGAAAAAAAAGGCAGCTAGCTAATTATTTGAGTACGTTGAAAATAATTTCATTGTTTTGTTTTTCTTCATTTTTCTTATTTCGTTTTTCAACTTTTTTTTTTAACAATCTTGGCGTGCGATAAAAATATGTCGTTTAAATTATTTTTAAAAGAAAACATATGTAAAAAGTACAATAAAATAAACTTATTATAGGTAACGAACGGTACCTAATCTACATTTAAAGAACAATCATCTTAAATATTTTTCAGCGAAGATTAAAGTTATTTGTTTTCTTTTTTCTTTTTTTTTTTGTATTATTTTTTGAAAGGGCGGAGGGATAGAATTAAATATTAATTTTGCACATTATTTTCATCGTCATTTTATACGTCGACGTATTCTCGATGAATCTATTGTCTTATAAATAGTTTACAACGTATTTGTGCAAAATGAATATTTTCGATCAATAACTTTATAGATCTTACACCGTAACAATTATTATCTTAAGATGATCGATCTAATAAAAAATAATATAATACCTGTTAGATAATAAAATAAAATACATATAACAATTGATCGTGTATAATAGTTTCCATTTGTTTCAAACGGTATTTGCACTTTATACTTATTTATATATATACATATATATGTATATATATATATAAATATTTAAACACGTCGAACTAATTAGGATTAAAATATACAATAGCTTAGAACGGGTGATTAATAATTAAAATATGATCACAGTACTTAATTAAAAAACAGACAAAAAGTTAAAAAAAAAAAAAAAAAAAATACAGTTGACACTTCTCTACAGAATGTTTAACAAATGGCGTGCAAAAAAAAACAAAAAAAATAAATAAATAAAATAATGTTTC